CCACGGAAGCCCATCGGTAATCAGAGGGTGGGTAGAACGCTTCGAATTATGGTGCAGCATCCGGAAAGGAAGAATGCAAAATCAGTCGGTCCTATTTTTGACGTTGGGTGGCCGAAAGCTGTATTCCCTGGTGAAGAATTTAGCGTTCCCGAAAGTTCCTGCTGAATTGCCGTCCGAGAAGTTAAAATTCCTATTGCTGAACCACATTCTTAAAATGGTTTTTCAGGCCACTGAAAAAGCCAAATTCAACTCAATGGTCAGAGCTACCAAAATGCCGTGCCGTGAGTTCATTCTCCAGTTGAATAAACAGGCGTCGAAATGCAACTATGGTGACCGATCGGAAGAACAACTTTGAGACCACCTCATTGCCGGAATCAACAACATCTCACTACAACGTAAGATATTGGAAAAAAAGACATCACGTTTGCTGAGGGTCAAAAAATCTGTAAGCAAACTGATGATTTGTGCGCTGCCACAAATGCGGATACTCCTGTGTTATTCCATTGGCAGTCAACGAAACCCCTACGTGACGTACCCAATATTCATAATTCACCCCAGGTTCCTCAAGTACCCAGTTCAAATCGAACACAAACGAAGTCTGCGACCAACCGCTGCTTTTCATGTGGTGAATACCATCTTCGTTCGACTTGTCGGTTCCGTAATGTCACTTGCCCTGTATGTGGTACGATGGGCCATATCCGCAAGGCATACCGAATGCCCAAGTGCAACCTCGTCGATTCCCATATCCCAACGGCAGATGAGAAATCCCGAACTTAACATCCAGTTTGTGTTTGCCCCACTAATGTTCGAGTCTAATGTGGAGTATCGATTCATCATGGACACAGGAAGCAGCGAATCTGTCCTACCGAAATCAGCACTCAGTGCGGTTTGTCCCAATGCTGTTCTAGCCCCGATTTCTGTGCCCATTCATGAGGTTATTGGCCATCGGTTGCAATTACCTGGTGAAACGACGTTGTGCGTTCAATCTGAATCCGGTGTATCAATCCCAATCCGATTCCTGGTATCAGCCCACAGTCCGTCTATTTTGGGCCTTCGGGCAATGCGGCTACTACAAGAATCAATCACATTACACACCAACAACGATATGACAATCACCTCACATCTTCAACATTTGACTGTACAGTGTTCCGGTAACGTCGGTGGCATGAAGATACCGTCGGTAAAGTTGGAAGTGGACGGTGAACATGTTTTCCTAAAACGACGCGTTCTCCCATACGGTAAACGGGAAGGTGTCCTGAAAGCATTACATAACATGGAGCAGGATGGTGTGATAAGTAAAGTTGAATCCAGTGCCTGGGCGACTGTAATAATCGAATAGGAACCGGAATTGAACAGCGCGAACTTGAACTCGGACTGAAAACCCACTGAATTACGCAACG